TCAGATTCTCATTTTACTGCTTTAAAAAGGTTATTTCGATTCAATTTGGGGTTTGCGGCTTTCGTAAAATGTTAGATGGCGGCGCTCGGTGCTTAAACGCCTCAACTGTGGCTGGAGCCAATCACCTCTCGATCCCAGGTTACGTTAGCCTTGCCCCATATCATGTTGATGTTGAGACCTTTACCTGGGTATTGCTTTATCAATAACGTCAAAATAGAGCTTCAAGACAGTTGACAGTCACACTAAATATTACTTCTTATATCATTCTTCTGACGGGTTCAATCATTTAAGAGCCAAGCAAATACTTTCAATCATCATCCATTCTCTGACACTGCTCCCCAATCGATACACAACTTATTATACAATCATGGCTTCAAAGAAATCAAAGCCAGCTCCAACTGATGATGAATTGAATGAACTTTTGGAAGGCATTGATGAAGTGAAAGTTAAAGCACCTTCTTCCAAGGGACCTTCTAAATCACATAAAACAAAACAACCATCGCAATCAGAACAAGATTTACTTGCGGAACTTGAAAACCTTGGAGCACAACAACCAAGTCGACCACATACACCGCGAATTCAACAAGTGAAACGTTCAAACACAGCAACCCCCCCACCAGCTTCTCGCAGAAGTGAGGATAGATCAAGCGAGGAGAAATCTGCTTTACCGCGAAAATCTGTTGACAGTACTCGATCATTTCATACTAGTTTTACCCCTTCCGCAACTAGTAGCGATCTTCAAGAAGCGGAAAAGAAAGCTCCAATTTCTCAGCCTGCTACAGAAGCCCCTTCAACGGGTGGAGGATGGTCATGGGGAAGTGTCTTTGCAACAGCGACGGCGACAGCTAGTGCAGCAGTCAACCATGCTCAAGCTGCTGTGAAGGAAATACAACAAAATGAAGAAGCTAAACGATGGGCAGAACAAGTGAAAGGAAACGTTGGAGTTCTAAGAGGCTTTGGTAGGATTTTGAATGGAAGAGCTGGCAAGTGAAGCAGTGCTAATTAAAATTGCAGGTGGTGAGTTGACATCTAGAGCTCTTCCAACCTTTACAAACATTCTTCATACTCTCGCACCCCCTATCTCATCCCACGAACGACTTCAAATCCACATCACCCATGATTTCATTGGATATCCCTCTCTCGACCCTCTGATCTATTCTACATTTTCTCGTGTGATGGCTCAAGTTGAAGGAGGAGATCTGCTTGTTATTCAACGTGGTCACGAATCCACAGCACGCCGCGCATCCGAAGCTGGTTATACTGGAGGCAATGCAGGGTGGAGCGATGGACCCTGGTGGCGCGTAGGGACCGACAATCGTGATATTGGTTCCGTTAAAGGACTTATTGAAGGAACGAAACTCGTCCGCGTAAGCGCAGAAGCCTATGCGAAGGAGTATTTTGATGCGCATGGTGGACTCGAACTCGCAGCTCAGCGAGCTACCGAAAATCTTAGCGAATCAAATCCAGTTCGCAGCAGCGATATTTTCATGGCTGTCCAAGCGATTACTCATGAAGCACCGGAAGATTTGTTCCAAGGAGGTCCAGCAAAAGAGGCAGAAGGAGGTGTGGTTGACGAAAAACCAAAACCAGATGAATTAATTTCCTTCGCTATTTACCTCCAAGATCCAATCCATAGCATCACTTTCCATACAATTACTCAAGCCATTCCTGCTAAATGGATTCAATGGCTTGATGCTCCAGCTCCCCTAACTCCAACATCCACATCTTCACCCTCTAAAGAGAAGTCAGGCTTCTTTGGTACAGAATCAGAGAATGCGCATGCAGGATTACCAGAGGAGATTCAACAAATTATAGAAAGCGGAGGAGTGGATCCTCGCGAATGGGTTGCAGAATGGGTGGAGGAGACATTAAGTTTGGGTGTGGGAGTTATAGCACAGAGATATGTCGCAATGAGGATGGGGGTTGGTGAAGGTGGTATTGGTAAGGGGAAGGCTAGAATGGAGGAAGTACTTGGCGAGGGAGGTGGGGAGGCAGCAAGAGCGGGGTTGATCTGATGGGGCTCAGTGACAATGAAATGAAAAGGGGGTGAAGAGGAGGGAACACAGTATCCGCGATTCTCACGAGTGAAATGATATGATTGTCTGAGGCGTTTTAATTCTTTCTTCGCGTCACGGCGTAGTCGTACCTAAGGATGGTTTGGTTATAGGATGTTTAAGGTCGCGTTAACGAAACAATGCATGCATTACTATTTACTTTCCATTGATGGATGAGGCAATGCTACAATTTCTGTATTGTGCGATATATGCAGTTCACTCGTTTGATTTGCATTCACATTTGATGATTGATATAACGGAATGAATCCTAAGATATATTTACCTTTTCATTGATCCATCAGTTCTTAGACATTAAACGGTATGGAAGTAAGACGAGGTTGGAGAAGAGCATGGCGGCCGGTGCTGAGAGTGGGGATTCGATTGAAGGTAGATGTAGGGAAACGTGTGTGCGGTATATTTATTCAGACACACATGCGAGTCCTGAGAACAAAGTTAACGAGCTTGTAGAATTCTTGGTAAAAGTTGAATACCTAGTAATTCGGTAGTTGATTTCGAGAAGCTTTAATGTTTTTGAATGGGATAGAATGAGATGGGATGGGATAGAAGTGAAAGATGTTGTATTAGATGGGCTGTGAATTATCTGACCCTAAGAAAAAGAGCTGTATGGAATAATCACATAGTTCAAGAATAATACGAAGATTTTAGATTTGTGGATTCAATTTGGAAATTCAAAAATCTATAAAATGCTGACTTGTGGATGCGGTTTTGAATGTTTATAATAGGGGAAGATTGGTTGGTGTGAAGTCTTGTAGTCTGGGATGCTAGATATGGATGCGGAATTACTGGCTGGGTAGTTGGGTAGTTGGGGATGTATGGGTTGGATTGGAGGACTATGTATATGTCGGCGCTTGAGATGGGATGGAATGGGATGGTGGTGAAGGTGAGTGAAGGTGAGTGAAGATGAGTGGTGGAAATGTGTCAAAGTGTATGTATGCCAGGGTATCGATGTTGGTATTGAGACTAGAGGCACCTGATCGATAGGACTTTTTTGTTGCTGGTGTAAAGTATTCTTCTTTTTGCGTGTTTTGGTCTTTTAATTTTTGGGGTTTTGAGTGGGAGGGGAAGGGGGTTTGGATGTAGAAGTTATGAAATAGAGAAGTGGGAAGAATGAAGAGGGAAGAGAAAGAAAAGAGAGGGGGGAAATGAGAGAAGAGAAAAGGGAAGGATAAAAGTGAAGAGAAGAGTAAAGAGACGGGAGATATAACGAAGTGTGTAAGTTTAAGAAATGAAGAGGAGGAGAGGAGGAGAAAAAGGTACGAGGATTCGGGAATATAGATTTTATAGTGTATCTATTCGTTTCGCCTTTGTTGTGTTAGAGGTATAATGAGTGAGTGATTTCTCCTTTGAGATTGTATTTGTCAATGATAATTTCCGGGCTCTTATGTAGGAGGTGCCAGATAAGTCATGATTGGCGGCCCCAGGAGGGAAGTGTAACGGGAGTGAAGATAGAAGTATGAAGTCTGGAATGGGAATTGAGGTGGTCACCTGCAAATACAAATAGAAAGGTGAATTACTAGCTGTGATCATCGTACTCATAATATGAGAGATCATCAGTGGGCAGGGTCACTTTTCTACACATGGAAATGACTGGAGGAGATAACTTCGTCTAGCAGAATTGAATGAATTAGATATAGAAATTGTGACATGATAGCATTGGGGGCATGCGAACGTCTGTGAAATAGAAGAAGATGTCATGAAGAAGAGGAGAAACATAGATGGGGTTTGTAAAAGCGAATGTGAGTGCTATCCATACAGCAACTTCGATGATGTGGATATTCCAATATCATCATGATCATTTTTAGATCGTATGGTTCCGTGCGTATGATTATACTCAATGTGATGAAAGTCCAGGTCTGGAGGTTGAGTGTGGAGTAAGTAGAAGTCTAGATGTCACTATCACTATGTGACTAGAAGCTGGAAGTATAGGATACCGAGAACGAGGGATAGTTCGTGATGAGTTTTGATAACGACGATGATGAAATAGTCGAAATAGTTGAAACGGAGAGAAATAAGGATTTTTCTAGCGTTATGATGATACGATGTTATATCAAAGTCACTCGCAGGATTGGAGGTGACATACAGTAAAAGAATTTTCGGATTGTACTGGGGACAGAGGGGTGAAATATAACAATAGCTGATATCAAGATTGAAGGCTGAAGAGTATAAGAAATATTGAGAAAACAGAGAATAGGGCGCGAGAGATCAGAAACTGCAGAGAAAATGAAATAGACAATAGGATTTCTCATTATACGATGAATAATACTACAGGAATTCATCTAAAGAAGATTTTAAGAGAGGACAATAAGGGCAACGGTAGATGGAAGAGGTCATTCGTAGAGCTTTAGCGAATATTAGAGAGTGTGCTAATTTCTAGTGTTGTGTTTAACTTCCCATTTAATGATTACTTTGGTCTGGACTAGTTGATACTATAATGAAACTAGAATGGTAGATTATGTTTAATATCATTTATTCTTATATAAAGTGGAACAATCCGCTCAGGGAATAAACCAACAGATTTCCGTCAACAAAGCCTACCTATCTTGTATTCTTACTTCATCATGGTCAAATACTCAGCTTGGGTAAGCGAGAGGAATGTGTTTGTACTTGGTTCTTAATATCTTTGTTAGTATGTTGTGGTAAAGTAAGCAAATGAAGATGCGTTGGCTTCAATGAATAGTGAAGATACATGAGAGTTTTTCATTCAAGAGTAGGAGTCGACTGTGCCGCTGGGATCTTCTCCTGTCAACACTACTTTCCTTGGGATTCAACTGGGAGAAATAAGATAACTGGTATCTCGAACTCTGGTGGTTTGATGTGTGTAGACAGATGGGGATCGAGAATGTTCATCGCCTGTGACTTCTTCTGCCAAAGACTCAAACCTTGGACGTCGGGTACCGAGGACTTTCTGGTAGTAAAACTTCAATTTTAACTGTATTGCAGTGAGTCGAGAGGAGGCAACACCTTGTAAGAGATCAATTCTTCTCTCTCTTCCTGACGAAGCATGCGAAGTGAGTAGCTGAAATCTTGAACGTATCCGTATTGCTGTAGTCGTTGAAGGGTCTGCTCCGTAGATGCAGCATCAAAGATCCCGCTGTTGAGTTCTGGCCATATGGTCTTAGGTATCCAATTCCTGACCGGTTCCGGTGTTGTTTGTGCCAACTTTTGTGATCCTGTCATGTCTCCTCTTGAGAATGGAATCAATTCTAAATCAATACCAACACCAGTATCGACCTGGTACGAATAACACCATAGCGTCGACAATATCTCGCTTGAAACCCCCTCGGAGTGTTGGATCTCCAGATAAGGGCTTGCGTGCGTAATACCGCTTTGTATACTATCTCCCTTCGCTTTCCTGATGTAGAGTGTGTCAATAAGATGATGGGAATACGTTGAAAACTGCAGCTTCCACAAACACACCGATTGAGCTGCTGGTTTTCTGTTGTAAGTGCTCGAAAACATCTGAGAATGTTTGCAGCCCCATTGTCGAAGTTGTCTCGCCTCTTGGTATGCCTGCGGAGGAGTTGCTAAAGTCGTGAACGAGGGGCTCCGATGCGAGTATATGTAACCCGCATCATAACTAATCGAGAGGTGAGTTTGGTTGAGGAGAAATTCCCTTGAGTAATCGAGGGGGGAGACTGAATAAAAATGAATGAAAGTGGATTGAGGTTTGAAGAACTCTGATTCTCGGGGGGATCTCTTCTTTAAATATGTCAGAAAAGGTATGACGTTCCTCCTTGGTTGCTGATCTCAAATCTATCTTTCGACAAGCTAGCATCCGGCTAAGATTTAGTAGACGATTAGCTACTAGCTAGTCATAAATAGACATTTGATGATTTCCTCAAAATTGTCGACTCGGCAAAGCGGCAGTATAGGAGTGTCAAGTAACAGCGAAGGACCCGAGATTTGATATAATTCCCAAGGTCATGTTTGTTACCGGTGTCAGTGATGTGTAGACTTTTCGAATGATTATCATGATGAAATTGGGCCATTTCAAATAGCCCAGATTCGAATAGCTATCATGTAAGAAAACCGGTCGATCAAGCCAGAGTGTAAACACATACATAGTGCGTATTGACTTCATACAGCAATGTCAAGTATAAAGATCATGCTAAGACGAGGAGAATGTGACTTATGTGTCCAGAGTCTAGACTTAGCCGATATAGCGTACAACTGTTGACGTACGAGAGCAAAGAAATGGCAAAATCTGAAGAATGATTAATTTGATTCACAGGTTAGCTGACTACCATTATAGTTTCTCAAATACCGGTGTGCTAATGTGAACTTTACGTCGCCACGTTAAATTTGACGAACTTATGGACACCGTCAAGATTGCATTTTTCCAAGCACACTATTACCTGACTAGGTATCTTCTGTCTCCAAGTCATTTGTCGGAATTGATGTTTATTGTATGATGCTAAGACTCGAGCTAGTGCGAAGCTAATGAATGATCTTTGGAATTACCTGAGTGACGTCTTTTTTCATATCCCCCACATAGTTGTAATTGCCAGCTTGACACGCGACGTTTCACACCCTGGATGGAAATGTGATTGGACTGTTGTTGTTTACAGTTTCGCATACTCCCTAGAACATGTGTATACTATGAGTTTCTAGTCTTGATCTGTCTATCTATCTTTGCATCTTGGAATGATACTAAAAATAGATATATCTAAGCAATTCCAGCTTCAAATATTGGGTTGACTCATTTTTCGTCAAAAGTCGGGGAAAAGGCGATCGTCACTAGTACTAAGTGATCTAAAATTCGACTATCTACAAAGGAAAAATAATGCAATGGAGTTTGGTTGAAATTTTTGTGTGATAATATCAATCTTATCTCTATAAATTGAACAGGTTCTACCACTCAATATGTTTTCTCTACAGCAATCAAGACTCGAAGATCGAAATCGAAGAGATTCACACAGCATCCACAGAGTCAGTCATCTTCCAAAGCTACTGTCTGCTCTTGTATTCTTCCTGTGAACTGTCAAATCCCCCTTCCTCAATCCGCTTCTAATCAGAGCTCCTCCTTACAGTCACCACGCGTACAAGCACCACCACACCATCAATACCCTTCACATATTATCAGCATATAAGCCAAGAATGGCCTAGAGTGATATTGCAGACTCAATGCATAGTCACCTAGAAAACGATTATATATCTTCTTTTCATATACAAATCCATCATCAAGGAAAAGAGTTAGGTTACATCTCAGGCAAGCTACATCGCGTTCTACTTTATGAGGGAATATCGACTGATTAAATGCATGTCGAATAGAAAAACTGGCATTCCTGGAAACATTCATCGACAATCTCGGCGATCACACATAAATCAGACCCATACGAACCCGCCGTAGCAAACTCGCTATGTCCAGGGAGCCCTTTATGGTGCGTGAACATCCTGACATTGCTGCATGCATGCATCTAATTACACTGTGTTGTTGTTGTTGTTGTTGTTGGTAGTTCCGAGCTTGATTGATCTTTTGCAAGTTGCTTGTGGGGTGCATGTAGCTGTGCACTCTGCATTATGCTGTGTGTTATAGTGCTTGGTTTTGGTGAGTTATTACAGCATTTATATATATCTTCAAGCCAATACCCCTCCACGCAAAGCCGGTGTATTTACCCATGGTCACTTGATCCCGCTAAGTCGTGGAGTAAGCAGGACGAGTACCATGTCGTACCAATAAATCGTCGAGGAGGGGGGTGTTGAGAAAATATGGAGCTAGTGCTTAGGTGGAACTGGGGAAATAGATTAAACACAGGATGGGATTGCCATGACAATCATGAGGGGGATAAGAGACATGAAGCAAGAAGGCTTTTTAATGACGTATGTACATGACGTCAATTGCACCGAAATCTATTAATCAAGACTCAAGAGCTAACCATAATCGATAGATAGCTGGAGATATTAGATAGGGGCTTAGGAGGGGGACGGAGGGGCGTCTCTACTAGGCCGTGCCGAGCGATATTATCATTATTTTGGAGTACGTGCTAGGGTTGAAACATCTACTAGATGGTAGATGATATTCGAATAAATAAATAATCATATACGAACACCAATTCGACGGACGGGACAATACCTTTCTATGATCGGTACCTTTTTCTTTCGACGGATAGCAATGAGATCAGCTCCGTATTGAGATGGCTAGATCTATATACGAATAACATCTAAATTCATACCCAATGGGGGTAGACATCTACTCAGGTACCCAACTCGACTACCTACCTACCTAGGTACTGGCACCCATCTAGATGAATGCTGTATCTATCTACCTAGGTCCCTATCTATCGAGGTCCACGGGTAGTAGTAGTGTAGTCACCTACTTGGTGTTCAGTCAATCTACCGGTATTCACTGATCAGGGCAACTTGTCAGTCCATCAGCCATCAGCCATCAGCCATCAGCCATCAGCCATCAGCCATCAGCCATCTAGCCGTCTACCGGGAGCCACTCCCCAATCTACCCAGGTGCTACCTGCCGACTCAACAGCGTCATCACTCATATATTTGATGTGAATGCCATCGCATATTGACTTTGTGGTTTTGTTTAACCCTAAATCCCTAACACTCGTTACTCTATTTATCAGCCACCCAATCAATCAGACCACCCACAGACCCCCCCTGGACGGATTTTATTTGATTGGAAAGCACTAAAACAAAGGGAAAAAAAGACAAATTCATCGTCATAAGTACATAAAACCAAGTACATTACCCTAGTCAGCCATCATTTATCATCCCTCATCCCTCATCCCTCATCTCTCATCCCCTTATCCCTCATACAACCGAAAAAGAAAGTTCCAAATATCCCAGAAAGAGTCATCGGTTTGATATTGACATACTTTTACTCTACTACCTTGTTCCCAATCTTACCTATTATTCTACATTCTACCTACATTCAACCCTTCGTTTCCATATTCAATCAAGAAGTCCTACCTACTACCCACCAGTGCCCATATTCGTTTTTTTCCCATCGCAATTACACTTTTTGGCTACTCCCTTGCTTTGATCACCAATCACGCTTTCAAAATTTCCGATCCTTGCTTATCCTTGAAATTCATTCATATCTTTTTCCCCCTCTTGTCTTGCCTTACTTGTTACAGGAATTTGAATCCGATTCCACCCTTTCTCTTTCAGAAGTCTCGCAATTTTGATATTGTGTTTATCAAATTATCCGAATTGTTTACTTACTAAAATGTCTTCCATCTCACAGGCCATTAAAAATGCCCTTCATCGGGGTATGTCTTGTTTAACCTTTTCAACACTTTCAAACCTCACCCGTCCCTTCTTCTAATTTCCACGACAACTACACCTTCTACTTTTTTTCTTCTCAACATTCAATATGCTAATAACAAATTTAGGCAAGGGAGGTGCCAAGGGCAACGAGGATACCAAAAAGGCTGCACCTGCCGCTCCAGCTGTCCCTCAACATCACGCTAAATCAGATCCCAGCGCAGTGGCCCATCAAGCACATCAAGTTCCTGGAGGTGACGCATATTCAGTTGCAAACGAAGATAATAGGAATAGAGGAGCTCAAGCTGCAAATCAAGCTGCACATGCAGCAGGACAACAACAGATGGCAGGACAATCCAACTCAACGAGGCAGGACGAACTGGCAAGACTGGTGGCCGCCTCGAATGAGAACAACAGCCGTTTACCAAGATATCCTGGACTTGAAAGATGGGCACTTATCGAGAAGATGGGTGATGGAGCATTCAGCAATGTTTACAAGGCCAGAGACTTAGAAGGCCAAGCTGGAGAGGTGGCAATCAAAGTTGTCCGAAAATATGAGATGAACTCCAATCAGGTAAGTACCTTTTGAGATCTTTCTTACAATCCTCTCTGTGCTTTTTTTGGAACCTTGCCAACATGTGTGGTGCGGTAGGCAGATGCTCATCTTCATCCGAACTTCAACAAGAAGCAACCAAAGGGCGTGGAGGTGCGGAATTATTTTTACTCTCTCCTGTCATCAACATTCCATTCAAATCATAGTTCAATAATGGCTGACATCATACAATCATCTCTAGAGACAAAATATTCTTAAAGAAGTTTCCATTATGCGTGGTCTAGATCATCCTAATATCATAAAACTCATCGAATTTTCCGAGTCAAAACAATATTATTATCTTGTTTTAGAGTTGGCACCTGGCGGAGAATTATTCCATCAAATTGTCCGCCTTACTTATTTTAGTGAGGACTTATCAAGACATGTTATTAGACAAGTTGCAGAAGCGTTACACTATCTTCACGAAGAAAAAGGTGTCGTCCACAGGTGAAGATACTCCCCAACCCCCCACTTTCGATTTTGTTCGTCGTTCATTCAACGATACGAATACTGACGTCACTCTTCAGGGACATCAAACCAGAAAACATCTTATTCGAGCCAATACCGTTCATTCCAACCAGGAACCCGAGACCAAAATCTGCTGAAGATGAAGACAAGGAAGACGAGGGTGAATTCATCAAGGGTGTTGGATCCGGCGGTATTGGAAG